CTTCGCGCTTGGTGATGTACTAGCCTGGTCCGGTGAAAACCCGGCGTGCTTCGTCCCGGCTTTGTAGGGATGCGAGGGCAATGTTCTAACCGTTGAGGCATGCAAAACATAAGAAAGAGTACACGCCCCCCTACCCCTCACGCTTAGCAAGCACAACTGGTCAAGTGGCCGAGCGGTCTAAGGCGCTAGTTTAAGGCACTAGTTCGAAAGAGCGTGAGTTCGAATCTCACCTTGATCATATTTTTTCCTCAATATTTTTCGACTTCGTCAAACTACGCCTGCCTGCGATGTACTGTATAAAGGAAGCAAGCAATACGTGCGCATGGTATGTATGCACAAGGACTGCTGTTGTCCGCGTAACGAAGCGCTTTTCAGCTCTTTCTTTTCGAAGTTCTTTCATTTATTATTTNATTTCACTTCGTGAACTCGGCAACCAGGTTACCGTTTTTTTTTGGCGGTACCCATGATGGTGGTCGAGTAGATCATGTTGTGCGGGGTCGAGAACCCTCACTCCGCGCAAGGGGGATGATCGCACCACGTTGTGTTAAAATGGTCAAGCACCCTCGAGGCAGTTACACAGTGCAAACAACTGTCTCTGGAAGTTAAAGCACCACAACATAAATGAAGTCATGCGCAGCTGTCATCTGTACGCAAGGAAGTAAGCACAAGATGCCGAACACCCTTAGCAGGATGCAGCGCACCCTTCATGCGAATCGCCGAATATCTCACGGCGCGAAGCGCTTGGTGATGTGAGAGCCTGGTCCGGTGAGAACCCGGCGTGCTCCGTCCCGGCTTCGGAGGGATACGAGGTCAATGGTCTAACGACTACGGCATGCACGACTATGAGTACCCCCCCCCACACCCCCCACTCCCGACCCCCCGAAGTCGCCACTCGCCTGGCCACCCGTCCCCCGCCAGAGATCTTCAAACGCAGATTCCCCGACATTCTCCTCCTCTTTCCCCAGGGTAGGTGCGCCTCCAGGAACGGACCCTGAGGGGGAGTGGGACGCGCCTGCGGCACGGTAGTAACGCCTCCGCTCCCGCCCCAATCCACCCCGGCACCCGGCGGAGCCGCGTCGGCCCCGGTCTTGGCACCCGCCGGTACGACTGGCCGGTCTTCGCCACGCTCTGGTGTTTCATCATCGCCGCCGCTGCCAGCGTCGGCGGCGGCAGCAGCAGGAGCATCCGCAGAAGCAGTAGCATCCGTAGAAGCAGTAGCAGTAGCCTTAGCAGCGCCAGTGACCTGAGCAGCATCAGCATCAGCATCAGCGTCAGCAACACCAGAAGCAGCAGCAGCAGCAGCAGCAGCAGCAGCAGCAGCAGCAGCTGCTGCACCAACAGCAGCGGCCGAGGCGGCTGCACGGTCAGTACCTCCCTCGGCGTCGGCGTCGGCGTCACCACCGCCACCGCCACGACCTTCTTCTGCCGAACGAGGCGTTCCCCTTCGTGGAGAGCAAGAACCCCCCCGCTGCCGTCGCGATTCCTCCGGCCGAGCACCCCCGGCACCACCGCCTCCACCGTTCCCAGCGTCCGTGACCCCGTCTTCTCCGTCACCACCGCCGTGGCCCCCAGCGGCACAAGCCGCAGCAGCCGCGGCGGCGCCAACGGCGACGTCTGCGCCGGTGTTGCCGGCATCGCTCCCGTCGTCTCGCCACTTGAGGACGCCCTCTCCTTGACCCTCAGGGAGGGGCGAGGGGGGCGCCGTGGTGTGCGTGTTGAGGGCGTCCGCCGTGGCCATCGGCAAGGCCGTGGTTCCAAGGCTGGAGCGAACGACGCGGAGGAGCATCGAGGCCAGCAGGTGTCCGTGGCTGAGGCGTGCGCACGCGGGAGGGGTCGAGGGGGTTGGCGGAGGCGCGGCGCGGCACGGAATGGTACAATACGGTACGGTAAAGGTGGGGTGCGGTATGATGGCACGGCATCGCACGGCGGTGCGGTTGGTACCATATGGTACGTGATACCACGGTAAGGTAAGGTAAGGTAAGGTGCATGATACGACCGTCAGCGTAAGCTGGACACCACTGCTCTCAACGCCGCGGCGCATGAGGCCCCCCCCACCCCCCACCTTCGGCGCGACACCGGGTCAAACGAACCATTTCGTTGAAGCCAAGACCGCATGAGCGGGTGAAGGCGTGCCAAAAGCTACACCCCAGCCCTAGTACACAAGGACACACGTGCACTTCGCGATGATGCAACAAAGCACAGGTGGCTCATGTTTCAAACGATGTGGTGGGCACTAGTTAGTGTTAAGGCTGCTTCGCATCTGTACGTCGTCTCGTCTGGCCAAGACTCATACCTGTAGCTGGCTTCCTGGAACTGGCAGATAGAAGCGAAGACAGGGTCGAAGCAATCGTGGCTCGATTGGTGAGAGCTAACCACCAACCGGGAAAGCTCCTCCGACGCCTGCGGGTAACGAACAGTCGAGAGAGGGTCAGTTTTGTTGTGTGGCCCGCAGACGGGGCAGCGACATTATCGACCGGATCCCAATGAAGAGGAGGAAAGGAGATGGGTGGAAGTGGAGAGAGTGAGAGAGCGAGAGAGGGGGGGGGGGGG